GATGAGAGCACATTTTTTGTTGTTTGAACTTTTTCCATGAAAGTCTGGCCTTAGCAAAAAAAAAAAAAAAAAAACAAGATGTGGTGAGGAGAGATTGCTTATACTCAGATCAGTTAAAGCTTCTGCCAGAGATGTCTTTTTTTTTTATGGTGCATACTGTTATGCACAACAACTGTATATTAAAAGAGGATGAAATTTCTTCACTATTTTATTCTTCTGATCATTAAACTGGCAGAGGGTCAAGTGCTTCTTAATACTGTAGTAAGAATCTCATTGTCTGTAAGAATCTCATTGTCTGTACCTAAAATTTCTTGTATGGTGGTATAAAGACATATTTGAAGGGTTATGTTTAATTATACTGTGTTAGACTCTAGCTAGCTAGAGTCTAGTAAGCACCATTTCAGACAGAACACAGTAGGAAGCCCTTTCTTGTCTAGAAATGATCACAGGAGTTTCTGACGACCTGGAAGTATGCTCCTGGGATTTTGCAGCGATAACTGCTCTGTATACTGAAGTGTGGTTTGGTCATGGCCAGAGACAGCATAGGTTTTTCCACATAGGAGAATATCTGCAGGATGAATGAAATTAGTATCAGGTATTAATCTGAGTGTTTTTTCTAGAATCCAGATTTGTGTTTCTCACACAATGTTAGTCTTGATTGAAAAGTAAACATTATGCAGCATTTACCACAAAGTGGTACATATATAGAATAGGGATTAGTTTCAAAATCTTTATGTAGCATCTTTTGATAAATKCTGGCTTTTTATCATATTGATTATATTCAAGGTACTTCAATGCCTTCCTATTTTTTCATTTATTTTATATGGTGAACATCAATAGGTATATTMATGATCATAGCTAGAACAGATTTGGCAGAGAAGGGAACATGGGATCAGTGAATATAGCAGTGAAATGCAAAGGCAAGGGTTCTATTTTGCTATGCATAATTATTTGAAATGTACAGTCACAAATTAATTTCACATMTGTGCCTTAGTTTCCCTTCATATAAAATTGGGATCCCAATACGTCCATTTAAAAAAATGTAAAGAATTCTATAGAATGGTAAGTTATTTAAGARCTATGTGAGATTTTATTACTATTGTGGTAAATGGAAAGAGAAACTGTTCATCATAATTCACACCAAACCTTGGTTTAGTCCATGTTTCCACCAAACCTTGGCTTATTCCCTATTTCCATCTTCTAAATGAGATGTTCTGAGACAAAAATCTCCAGCATAGGCTGCATGGTGTCATGAAACTGACACCCTGAAGGTGAGGGTTAGCACAGGTTCTTGTTATTAGATCCCTGGGAGCAGATTAGGGTGAAATGACATTTCATCATCAGTGTCTAATTTT